ACGCGTCGGAAGCTTCCCATAAAGAGCTGTCCGCTTCCGCACTTCCTTCCGCCCAGTAATGGAATTTGTAAAGACAGCAAAGTGAATGGAAGGGGCGGTGACTAAACGACGAAGCCGTGTTCCGCATCAACTCTCTACTTGTACTTATCCCTAATCCCTTTCACACCCTAATAATCACTTTTTCTTCTTCTCCTAAATGCTATCTACTGAACTAAGTCCATACGAATTAAATTAATAACTTCTCACTTTTAAATATTATCCACGTTAAATACATACACCTTGTATTTAAATGACACTGACTTTTATTGAAGGAAGATCACATGATCGAATCCTGGTAGTATGTATTAACTCTTTAGACTGCAGTAATTAGAGAAAGTATAGACAGATATTACATTATAATAGAGTCAATAGTATTAAAAAAAACATAACTATCGTTTACCGGTCACATAAAAATAAAATATATCACGATGATTAGACACCTCCAGTTAAATTAGTCAAATTAATATTATTTTTAATCATTTATCAACTATGATCACAAAATCAGATTTATTTTGTGCACGTATTCTAATAATAACTACATGTTTCTACATTACTAAAAAAAATATTCACTTCCAACGGTTAGGTAAATGTTAGAATCCTGCAACATATAATATAAATATTGGGCATTTGGGCTCTTATATATGGATTAGCGTTGGGTCTTGGAGCTTATAGATTTGATCTACTACCTTGTCATAAACTTTGAAGATTGAGTCATGGGGTCATGATGCAATTCGTCAAAGTTGGGAAATTTTTTTTTTTAATGTTACTAGCTCTATTACATTGTAGTATCTGTTCATATACTTTCTCAACCTACTGAAACACAAAGAGCTAATAACGCCTTCACTGGGATTGAACTCACAACCTTCCTAATGGAAGTCCAACCCGAGTACCATTAGACCACATAGTCCTGGTCAAAATTGAGATATTTAATTAGCTTATTAATTAAAAAAAAAACATGAAAAATGAATCAATAGAAGAACAAAAAAAATATAAGATACGAAACACATGGTGTCAAATATTTATAAATATGAATTAATTAGTTCCTAGTTTTTAAGAATATTTTTAAAATTTTCAAAATTAATTAAAAACGTTTATGAACTTTTCATAAATTTGTGGAAGCTAAGGAACACAAAAACATTACAACATTATAGTTAAAAAAAAAAAAAACTGATATATTAACCAAATTGTTTGTCCTATAACGTAGCTATGATCCCTCATCCTTGCTTTTAAAAAAAAAGGCAAAAACTCCAATCTTATGAAACAGTGTCATGTATTATTATTAATGAGACTAGTCAGGTCAAAATGAAAATGTAATATTTATACTGAAAAATGTAATACTAATAAGAAGTAATCGTGTTTGTTACTTACGAGAAACATACAAGTGTACTTGTAGACAAAAATAATAGCAAAATGACAATCATATTGAGCAATTATACCGTGGATTAGGATTTACCTTGCATTGTAGATTCTGGTCTAAAAATAATTTTCAGATTATGTATCTATAGTTTGACACATTTTGTACATTCAATTGATAGTTTCTGTACCTGTAGTTATCAAGTTATTTGTTTATATGTACAGAAACTATTAGTTGTAGGTACATAATGTGTTAGAAGGTACACATTTTTTGTACAAGAATTCACATTGTAATATGAATCTTGGTACATGGTGTGACAATTGGTCATATTGAAATGTTAATGTTGTGTTTATTAAACTTTTTCAATTTTTCATTATTATTCATTCTTGTTTTTAAATTGAAAAAAAAAATTGTATAACGTTTGTTTTTGTTTTGTTTTGTTTTTTGTTTTTTTGGGAATTAATGTATAACGTCTTTTATATTTTTGTTTTCATTTATTTAGAAAATAGAGGATTTATATGGTTAGTAAACACATTATAAATTTTAGTGTCAGGCCTCTTATTTATGCATGTAGTTGTGTATATGTGACAAGGATTCAACTTATATTATCATTGAACGTATAGACAATAACTTGAAATTGAACCTTTAAATATGGTCTCATTTAATTGATTATAAAATATCTTATAAATCCAACAATATTAAAAATCTTTTTTTTGTCAAAATAAATGGTGTCAAATATGTTTTTTTTTTTTTTTCCAACATAGACTGGTATGTACAAATAAGCCACTGAACTATTTGAGAAAAAGCAATCAAGCCATCAAACTCAAATAACCCCAAATAAATCATTGAACCTGAAAAAAAGAGCAATTAACATTTTTAACAGGTTAACTCCAAATTTTTACTGACTAGATTGCCAAATGTTTATTTTATTTACATTTTTTTATTATTATAATCCATCTACATAGTAATATATTTTAAAGTAATTATAATCAAAGTAGTTTTGTCTTGTCTAGATTTAATTTATTTATTTATTATTATTTTTTAAAACAAAAAATCTAGTGACAAAATAATAATAAATAAACAAATCAAATCTCGACAAGATAAAACTATTTTGATTATAATTATTTTAAAATATAATACTATCCAAGTGGATAATATTAATAAAAAAATAATAAACGTAAATAAAATAAACATTTGGCAATCCAATCAGCAAAAACTTGGAGTTAACCTATAAAAAATGTTAATTGCTCTTTTTTTCAAGGTTCAGTGGCTTATTTGCTCTTTTTTTTCCGAGTTTAATGGCTTATTTGATGGTTATTTGAGTTCGATGACTTAATTGTTGTTTCCCAAATAGTTCAGTGACTTATTTATACTTTATCCCTAATAATATTAGATTTTCCCATACAAAAACAATTAAGAAAATCTCAAAATAACTATTAAAAAAAAGTAATAAATAAAAAAGAGTTTTGAAATAAAATTCGCGAGAAACAAATAAAATTTAAGATAATTCCATTCATAAAATTCGTACAATATATTAATTGATTAATTATTGCACTGTTTTTTTTTTTTTTTTGGATGACACATGAAAATTCACCGTCATTATGACATTATTTGAAAATGTGTAGGGGTAAACTCCGTTTTTATGTAATAACTTACGTTAGGTTTACGACCAAAGCAATCAAGGGCAATCCAACACAACCACTTCAATTACTCGGAAAATAGAAAAAAACCTATACAGGTAGTTCAGTTGGTTATTGGGTGCAGATTGTGAGCAAGAATGCATAATCGAATCCTGATCGCCGCAATGTTGGAGTTACGCCTAATACAAACACTAGTCTTTTCACCTAATAAGTAGTTGAGTCATATGATTTATTATCTTCACAAGTCTTATTAGACAACAAGTCGATATCAGGTCTAACCACTTGATCTAAGGGGGGTGTATTCAATCATAACTTTCATAGAGTTTTAAAGACTTTTATGAACTTTAAAAGTTTGGAGGTATTCAATTCAAACTTTTAGAGAGTCTTTAAAAGTCAGGCGGTATTCAATCAAGATTTTTAAAGAGTCTTTAAAAGTCCTGTGGTATTCGATTAAGACTTTTAGAGAGTCTTTAAAAGTCATGTGATATTCAAAAAGTTATAAACTTTTGTAGACTTTTTAATTTTAGAACTTTTGTAGACTTTCGTAGACTTTTCCTTCTCAAATATAAATAGTTGAAATCCAACCATCAACCCCAAGATTTCAAATTTTTCTTTCTAACAATTTTGAATGTTTTCTCTCTATTTAAACTCTATTGTTTCTTCCTATTTTAACTTTATAAACCTATCTAATTTTAATAAAATAATTTTTTTCTTCATTATCATATATTTTCCTCATACCTAAACTCTACATATTTTTCTCTCTCCTAAACTTTACAATCTTACTCTGAAAATTTGAAATAATATTAGTTTTACTTCATTATTGCTTGTTTATATTGATTTTTTATATGAATTTTTTTATCCCTAACTTTCTCTAATTCTCCCTAAATACATGAACAAAGCAAATTTTTCATCATCAAATTTTATTCATAATATTCATATAAATACTTATATATATATTTTTTGATTTTTATTCTTTTTATGTTTATATTTGAAATATATATTTTTCATTTATTTTTAACAACAGGTTACTACAAATAGCGAACTACTGTTTGCAATAACAATTTGGAGTTGTAAACAGTAGTACCTTGTTGTTGTTCGCAGTCTCAAATTGCTATTGCAAATAATAGTTCTTTGTGTGATGCCTATCAATATATCAAGTATAATTATAATTATAATTATATATATATATATATATATATATTATTAATATTATTTTTTTATTTTTTTTATTTTATGCAACTTGTAATTATATTTTTAAATATTTTATTTTATCAATTCTTTTATTATAAATTTTATTGTTCAATACTATGGATAAAAATTAAAAATAATAATGCTAAGAATGTTGATATGGGTGAAGAACTATATAATAAGAAGAATTTTATGATATATTATAAATGTTTTGTAAGAAAAAATTATAAATGATCAGAATCAAATTCATTAAAAGTTTGTAAGGATGTATACAATTTAGAATTTCAATGACTTTTGTAGACTTTTTAAAATAAGAAAGTTGATAAAAGTCTATAAATGTTTTTTATATAGACTTTTATAGAGTCTTATAAAGGTTTAAAAAGTTTTGAACGACTCTATAAAAGTCAATCAAAATTTATTAAAATCTATCATTTTAAGAGTCTTTAAAACTCTACAAAAGTCATGATTGAATACACCCCCTAAGTTACAGTTCAATTCCTTAACCCATTAACTCGCACATAAGAAATAAACGGCATAAAGAGACTATGTACAATGAATTTTTTTGATCAAATGTGTCAATAAAAATTAAAAACCAAACTTATAAATTTCTTAATTCTTATATACAATAATGGAGCTCCACCAATGGGCTATATCTATTTTGGAATAAAATACGGAGAGACAATACTTGGTAAAAAGAGTAAATAAAATTGAATATTTCCATGTTTTGGGCAGCCATGTTTGAAATGAATGACAGGGCAAAAGAAGAAAAACAAAAAAAGCAAAAAAAGCAGGTGGAGTTTCTCAACATTTCTAGAAGCGCCATGACCACACTTCGTCTCTCTCATCACTGTTGCCATCTTCCCCTTTTCTTCTTCTCCCCCCAAAATTAATGATTTTTTAGATTTCTTTGACCTTTCTATTCTGCTTTGGAAAGTGGTAGTTGCAGTATATATACTGTCCGCTTTTTGGCGTTCAAGAAGGGAAGAGATTAATTGCACACAGAAGACGAAGAGGAAGAAGAAGAATAGTTATGGTCGTAGCTGGAAATGGAAGAAACTAAGATCATCGTCCCCGATAAGAACAACGTTTTACGCTCTCGCGTTTTCCTCTACGGATTCTACTGCTGGGATTGGGAATTCCTCACCGCTCTCCTCCTCTTTAGTTGTTCCATCTAAACGTCCCCCCAATCTCGCTTTTTTATTTTTCTTGTGTTCTTAGTTTAGCGCTTTTAGATTTTTTTGGTGTTTTTTCGAGTTGCTCTTTTGGTGATTAGAGTTGTCGGAGGAGGAGAGGATGTCGCAGAGGACCGTTCCGGCGCCGTTTCTGATGAAGACGTACCAGCTGGTGGACGATCCGGCCACCAACGACGTGATATCGTGGAGCGACGGCGGCTCCACCTTCGTCGTTTGGAAAACCGCCGAATTCGCTAAGGATTTGCTGCCCAGTTATTTCAAGCACAATAATTTCTCCAGCTTTGTTCGCCAGCTCAACACCTATGTAAGTATCCCTTCATATTTTACTCATAATTTCAGATTCTCTAGTATTTTTATTTTTTTTTTCTGTTGAATAAAACCTAATTATTAGTACTGCTACCATAGCTTGTTATTGAGATTCTGCAATTGTTCTAAGCAAGTTCCTCGTGTTCTTTTTTGGTGATAAAATTGACGGTTTTGGTTCTGGTTACGCTGTGAAAATCTGGTCAACTCCATTAATGGATTACAATATGCTTCAACCAGGAATGGTGTCTTTTCCCACCAAATGCATTGAGTAGAAAAAGTCTAAAACCATAGCCTTTATTTTCAACTTCATAATGACAGCTTCTTCTTTTTTTAATCTTAAGACAAAGACCTTGAGGTAGGTGAAAGTGCTTGTAAGTTGGTTTACCCATATAGAAAACAAGAGATGTAAAGGCACTAAGGCAGGGGTGGAACCTTGGGACTAATTGGTGGACTCGCCATTTACCTCCTCCAGCGGCTCTTGGGCAGGGTTTGGGAGAATAGACTAACAGGCTTAGCTCACTGGTTCGGTAGAAGAGACCAAGGTTCAAACCTCAGTAGCGTCTGTTGAGCCGTCGTGTTGGGGTGTGTGGGGCCTTGTGGGTTGGGGATTCAACCTTTTGGGAGAATAAGGATTAGGATTAGTATGAAGAGAGCTGGTCCTTCCAAATGCTCTGTGTGTGTGGGGCCCTTGGGGTTGGGATACCAGGAAATTCTTCCAAATGCTCTGTCGTGTGTGGGGTCCTTGGGGTTGGGGAATCAACCTTTTGGGAGAATAAGGATAAGGATTAGGATTAGTATGAAGAAAGCTGGGATACCAAAAAAACAAGAGATGTAGCTAAAAGCATCTATTTACTGTAAACTTGTTTTTTTTTACTGTTCCCAGATTTGCTGTAGAAAACTTGGAATTATGCAGTGGGTTTATAGTGTAGAATTGAATGATTACATACATGATTGGAAACTTTGGAAAGCTAAGTTCAGGCAAACCAATTTATGGAAGATGTTTTTCCTCCCGTGTATCTTGACAGAAGTTGCTCTCTTATAATAGATTTATAATTGTAATGTATATAAATGTCTGAATTGATAAGTTGAGTCTGGGTAGTGGGCTAGAGCTCTCTAAAAATGAAGGGGAAATGGATGATACTGTTTTTGTGAACTGGCCAAGTAATTTCCATGTTGTTCTTCAGGGATTCCGAAAGATTGTACCAGACAAATGGGAATTCGCGAATGAGAATTTCAAGAGAGGGGAGAAAGAGCTACTCAGCAGCATCCAGCGTCGGAAGACTGTGACTTCAGGTGGTGCCAGCAAAAAGCCCGAAGTAGCTGACAATTCAGCATTGCCAGAGAGCTCTGGGGAAGAACCAGGCTCGAGTTCCACCTCGTCTCCCGACTCCAAGAACCCCGGGTCGGTGGACACTCCAGGGAAGTCGCAGTTCCCGGACTTGACAGACGAAAACGAGAAGCTGAAGAGAGACAACCAGATGCTGAGCTCAGAGTTGGCACAGACCAAGAAGCAGTGCGAGGAGCTGGTGACCTTCCTGACTCAGTACGTGAAGGTTGTGCCCGAACAGATCAACCGCATCATGAGCCAAGGAATCTCCGGGTCCAGCCACGACGATTCCATTAACAAGGTTGACAATTCTGCAGATCTGAATTCAAGCCAGAACAAAGATGATGATGATGATGATGACGAAAATGGAGAGACTTTGAAGTTATTCGGTGTGTTGTTGAAAGAGAAGAAGAGAAAGAGGGATCACGACGACAACACTGATTTCTCTGCTGCAAGTACCAAGGAGATGAAGCCATCTATTGACTGCAAGAACGCACCATGGATGAAAATCTCTCCGGTGCCTGGGAAGAGCGGCAAAGTCTGTAACTAACGGGCTGATGCTTGTTCGCCATTTCTGTCAAGTTCAGCTAAATTCCAGTGTCTGTGAGGGTCATAGAATGATAGGGTGACCAATATCCAACATTTTTATGTAAAACTAAATACATAGGTTATAAGGTTGGCTTGTGAAAATAAAAACTAAGAATAATGTTTTTCCTTGTGTCTTTGCTGTTTATTAAGACCAAATGGTATGTCTTAACAAATGAACATTGAATTATAGTGTCTAAGAGATATGTTGTTGTCTTGTCTATCTACTTTGATTTACGAAAATCTCATAATTGATTGGCAGTTGAAGTTTAACACTTTAACTAATTCAAATGATACTCTACTCTTGAGTCTTGTCTATCTATTGGATGATAAGATTTAGAATTTGTAGTTTTAATGTAATTATTAATTTTTCTTTGTTTAAAAAAAACATTTATTTTTTGTTGGCAACAAAAAAATGCTATTTTCCTAATGTGACAGTTTTTTGTGTGTGTGTGTGTATTAATTGACTTAACTTTAGTACCACAGTAATTATGAACTTTTGAAGACTTGTAGGATGGAAGGATAATATGTTTGTTGGTGTTTAGTATATGTATTACTAACTCAATTGATGTTAAGACTAAATAAAAATGACACAATAACATACTCCATATTTAGACTCTTTTATTATTTTTTTTTTAAATTCCTAATCGACAATTGATTGGTTAAGTCATGTGGCATGCCATGGAAGTAGGATTGGGTAGGTTTATTTGTTGCCAAAATTTTGGGGTTGACTATTGCAATAATAAATCAAGGGAAATATTTTGATTTTGCTAATACTTTTAATATTAATATATCTTTCCATATTCTAAACTCATGAAATTAATTAAAAGTTTGGGCCATAATTCAATTGGTCAATCAATTCAAAATAAGTTTATAAACTTTGCTTTGTTAGTAGTGAGTAGTGACAAGGCGCAAGGGATGTATGGATTTGACTTTATTGTGAGCACTAGTGTACAATTACTGTACAAGCGTTTGGGGGGGCTTGTATGCCAGTTAAAACACATTTTACGATTTACTTCATTCACCGGTCTTTATATTAAGAACCGTGATAGAACTTATGAAATTAATTAAGAGAATCAATTTTTTTTATTTAAAAAAAAAATTCTAAAAGGAGGGGAGATCTCTTGCGAGTGGCAGACCAAAAGCATCCTCCACAACAAGGTTTCTCTTAGACTAAATTTTTAGATTTACTTCTTAGGCTATCCGCACATCAACAATGGAGTGATTGCAAGCTGATATGTTCATATTTCAGTCCTTGCAAATCTAACAACATTAGTCTCGTGGGGCCCCATTTTTTTTTTTCTTCAAAAAAATAGAGTTAATTATTAATTTTAGTATTATTTTGAGGGTAAATTTGAATTACATGGATTTAGAGAATATAATGGTGAATTTCACCGATAGTAATTTTCGTATCCTAATATCATTATTCTATTAGATTTTTTTTTGTATGGATTCTTTTTATGGTATATTTACTCATTTTGGGTTCTACCAATTCACAAGTAATCGGTGAATAAAAAAAAATTATAATTAAAAATTATGAACAATGACATGTTAGTTAGACTTAAATTAGGAGAGAAAAATATCAATTTATGACAAGTCAATCAATTGAATCAAAGATTATGACAAAGTGGGATGGACTGGTCAAAACCCAATTTTTATGCAGTGGAATCGTGTCCACCTAATAAGGTGAACTAGGTTCTATTTTCATAATTATGAAACTCTATGTTCATAATTTTTGAACTTCATATTCATAATTATTGAATTCTATATTCACAATTACAGAACTCTATGTTCATAATTATAGAATTCTATGTTTATAAATTTTGAATTCTATATTCACAATGTCAATTTTGGAACCGTCTCTGCCAATCGTTATCTGTGCATCCGTATGCACCATGCATGGTGCATACGGATGCCAAAACGTCGTCGTTTTATTAAAAAGCGCGCGTCTCTCCTTTAAAAAAAATTTAGGTTCGATTCCCAGCAACAACATTATATTGTTCATTTATTCTGGAATTTTAGTTCATAGATTATGGAATTATAGTTCATTGACTATGGAATTATAGTTCATCGATTATGGAATTATAGTTCATCGATTATGGAATTGTAGTTCATCGATTCTGAAATTTTAGTTTATAGATTATGGAATTTTAGTTCATTCATTCTGGAATTTTTAGTTCATAGATTAGATTATGAAATTATAGTTCATCGATTATGGAATTTTAGTTCATATGTTATTGCTGGGAATCGAACATGATTTTTTTTTTTTAAGGGGAGACACGCGTTTTATTAAAACGACATCGTTTTGGATGGTGCATACGGATGCACAGCATAATTTGCCCAATCGTTATATCCTACACCACGGCGCACATAGCACTGTGCGCCGCGCGCCTCCCAAAACGACGTCGTTTTGGGGTAGTGTTGGGAGGCGTGGTAGGAAGTTGCTGAGATTATGTGTATTTGTTCACAACGTTATGTGTATTGGTTCATACAGTTATGTGTATTTTTTATACAATTATGTACATTCTTTTTATACAATTATGTACATCCGAATCAGAAAATTTGTGTGTATTATGTTAAGAGTTGATGTGTATTATGTTAAAAGTTTATGTTTATTATGTATTATGTTAGATTATGTGTATTATCTTTTAAAAAGAGTATGCATATTTTGTTATATAATTATGTACATTCATGTATAACATTATGTGTATTCTAGTATAACATTATGTACATTCTTGAACAGCGGGTTTTTTTTTTTAAAGAAAAAACCATTGCCATTCACTGGGGCGGGAAATTTCAAAAAAAAAATAATTAAAACGACGTCGTTTTGCATCTGGGCGCATAATGCAACGCGCGCCGTGGTGCAGGATATAAATTGCCTAATTTGCCCGTCTCTGCCTTCTAGTAAAAAACGAGTTGGGCTTGGCAGCAAAGTCTACTGGCCCAGCCCATTTTGAATCTGATTTGAATATTTTTGTTTTTCTAAACGCGTTTCCGGTCACCGGTGGAATTTACTCCGTATTTCAGGGACCCAGAACGACGTCAAAGATCAATATTTTTGCGTCTCGTTTCCTTGACAGCGACGCAGCTTCTGCCGCGTAGATCATCCGTCGTTCAAAAAATGGTGCGTTTTATGTTTCAAACAGCTTCAACTATGGAATGTATATTCATTAGAAAACAATGCTGTTTAGTTTTATTTTGTTTTATTTTGTTTTTTTTTTTTTTCTGGCTTTTGCTGTTTGCATTCTGGAACATTTGGATTGAGTACTGGAGTCGAGGAATATCAGCTAATGTTCTTTGGATCTGTTATAGCGTTTAGCATGATTTCATCCTTGGATTGCGTTTTCTTATTAATGCTTTAAATCGGAAGAGAAAATTAGGTCTAATTGAAAAATAGTGGAATGAGTCATACCTGATCTGTTTTCCACGCCATTTTTGAGCATTTAAACTTCTTACCTGTTTTCCGGTGGTGAAGAACGAAAGGTAAAAACAATATTGAAAATGAAGAAAAATGAACTAGATGTATGATAGTGCCTTTTAGATTCAGAGAAAGAGGTGTAAAGAGCCAGAAAATAAAAAGTAAAATAAAAAAACAGATAGAGATTTTGCTCTTGTTTACCTAGCTCGGATGATGATGGCATTCTGGTATTGCTTATCAAATATGCATTTCCAAACTAGAGAGTAGAGACTCATTGTGAAGGGATGTGTGCTCTCCATATGATTGTGGGTGCTTAATCCACTGATTGCAATCTGTCTACTTAAAAACTGATAGAGTAATTTATAAAAGACTTAAAGATGCCAATATAGTGGACTTCTTGCAGGATTCAATATGACCATATTCTACATTTTGAATTACATAATTATCTTGATCTGCCACAATCCTTGTGCAATGTGCAATAATCTCATGTGTTATGTCCTTGGTATATATATCTCTTTCTTATTCCTTTTCTTTCTTCTTGCTTCTTTCAAACATTTTTGTATTTCAAATCCTTCAATAGTCTGGTATTAGTAGAGGGATGCCGAGAAAGGATAAGCCTAGAGGGCGTCATCATGGGTTAACGCAGCAGAAAAGGCAAGAGATCAAAGAAGCATTCGAGCTCTTTGATACTGATGGCTCTGGTATTACCTAATATTTACTATGTACTATAAATGACTGCACATGTGCTTACCCTGTATTGGTGTCAAGTTTTAACATAAAGTGTTGCACAGGTACAATTGATGCCAAAGAGCTGAATGTTGCAATGAGGTTTGATTATTTTATATGAGCATACTAATCTATAACCCTATTGGATGATGACAAATGAACTTACTTGATTTGTTGTAGGGCCCTTGGATTCGAGATGACAGAAGAGGTAAAACTAATATAGATATTAGGCTCTTTTCAAGTTTTAACTTTGAGATATAGGATTCAGTTGGAAATGACATAAATTTAAGTTCCTGCTCATTTTCCCTAATTTCTTTAAAAAACTAATACATGAGAAAAAAAAAATTCATAAAATACAATTTAAATTTATCTGTCTTGAAATAAAAATGTGGTATTCTTTGAATTACAATAGTCATGTGTTTACTAAAGCATATTATCCTCTTACCTGGAAAATGCAAGCAGTACATTTTGAGTACAGAGTGTGTGGTTATTCTTCCCGCAAATTGTGTTAAAAAAAAAAATTTACAATCTGAGATTCACACTTGTTGAGTTATAACCAACTTGATCTCACAATCTAATTTCATCTTGTATTTTATGGAGTAGCAGTTTGGCTTACTCCAAACCGTGGTATTTTACTTATCCACATGGCTAACACTACATGTGAATTTTATATTGCAGCAAATAGAGCAAATGATTGCTGATGTGGACAAGGATGGCAGTGGGGCAATTGATTTTGATGAATTTGTGTACATGATGACTGCAAAGATTGGCGAAAGGGATACTAAGGAGGAGCTCAGGAAAGCCTTTGATATTATTGACCAAGATAACAATGTATGGTTCTATTTTTTTTTGTCACATGGTTAAATTTTAGTTGATGACTGAATATGTACACAATATTACATTTTAACAGGGAAAAATATCCGCCGCTGACATTCAGCACATTGCCAAGCAGTTGGGTGAAAATTTCACAGCAAGAGAGATACAAGAGATGGTTGAGGAAGCTGATCGCGATCGTAAGTCTTATTTGCCCTCCCCCCGGCCCCCACTCCCCTCTGTTCCTTTCATCCGACATGACATAATCTTTTGACATAACGAGTTAGGTGCCACATAGACCATTTTGAAAACAAAACCATTAGTACTAATAACATTGATCCGAGAGTGTGTTGTTTCATTCTAACACAAATGATACAACTTGATTTTGTATAAAGTCACCCTTTTAACTGCCCTCGTATTTGAAATGTTTCTTTTCTAAATGCTTTCAACCACTAAACGTTTTGGACATTGATGGATTCTCTTTTCTTGATTACAGGTGATGGTGAAGTAAATATCGAGGAGTTTATGAGGATGATGAGGAGAACTAGCTATAGATACTAGGATGAAAATTAAAACTATGAACAGAATTCCATAGTTCTGAGATGTTTATAATTTTACTTCACAGTTTAAACTATCTTTCCTTCAATCATGGCATGTTTTATTCAAATTAATTCGTTTCTCTTCGAGTACTGGAAGCTATAATTCCATTAAAGATCAAAAGTGACATTTATTTCCTAATATTTTAAAATAAATTTTGTTAAAACGAAAAAAAGAAGTGGCAGTACGTATAAAGAGTGATATTCAAATGATATAATAATATATACGGAGTAATTTGAAGAGAATACACTAACATTACTGCATAAAACATTATGGATAAAGTCAATTCTGTATTCCGTCTTACGGTGTACAGAAATATTTGCTGCTCGTACTTGTTTTGCGAGCTTTCAAAGAGCTATAAATATAGGCTACCAAGTAAGAGATAAGAATACGATCAAATTCAGCCTAATCTTGGGGAGTAATTGAGTAGCCAAACAATAGCCTTCCAAAACTGAATTCTGACAAAAATTGCTCTGCTACGAGGAAAAAAAGCTAAGGTCACCATCCACCTATCCAGATCTATAAACCAACCAACTCAAAGAAATGATCTAAAACAAAGCATCAAGTTTTGAAAAGACAAAAACTTCAACCGGATATGCAAAAGCAATGTGATCCCTGGTTCAGAACTTGTAAACCGAGAACCGGAATACTCATCCCTCAGTTTTAGTCCCACTGGTGCTTTGCTTGGCAACATATATCTGTTTCACTTTTGTGGATGAAAAGCCCTTGTCTGCGCCAAAAGATTGGTTTCTGCCATGGAAACCTGTTCTTCGATGGGACCATTCATTCCCGGCTGCGTTCCTTTGAGACATTCCACTTCCCCTTTGGTAAGTGTAACCGGTAGGATGGCTCTGGTGGGCGGATACATTCTTTTGTCTGGGTAACTGAGCTTTGAAACCACTAGTAGCTTGGTCTCTAATATTATTGCTAATGTCATTCTGTAGAGTATCATTCTTGGCGGCATCTGTGGCAGTTCCAGGGAAGCCCTGACTGACACCGCTGTCAGAAGAAGGTCCAGTTGCAGATCTGGACGAATCAACAAGACCAAGTTCATCAGGAAATTGAGCTGGAGTATTAGTTGACACGGTATACTTGGGGCAACCGTCAGATGCAGTTGATGAAAGAGCCTCCGTGAACCTACTGACGTTCAATGATTGATCAACTGGTTGACCATGACCAAATGCGGCAGGCGGAATAGTTTCTGCTTGTTGCAGTGGTTGAGAGAGAGGAGCAGAGTGAAGTGACGAAGGTAAACTAGACCAACGAGCTTGGACTGACATGTCAGGTGAAGGCTGAGACAAATGTTAAACAACTATAAATGAGATCAAGATTAAAAATGACACGTAAAACAACAACAAAACAAGCAAGTAATAGAGCATTTGTTTCCTTCAATATATGAAGTTTCAAATTTTCAACTCTGCTTTTAGGAAACAGAATGCAGATATCAAAACATTTATCTGAAAGATAACTCTGCAGAACTATAGGCTTTCAGAAAGGGGGCCGAAAACTCTTCCTATGACACTAGTGTTCTGGAAGAGGGAAACTTTTTGGGAAGAATTTCTGAAAGAAAATTAACATAGAGCAGATAATGGACAATTCCATAGAAAGTTGAGGAGCCAACTGTACAAGATCCCTTACCTGGAATGGAGATACATCAAACATAGCCACAGGAGAAGCCATGGGGATAAGTGGAGAGCCAGGAGCAAGATGCTGAACAGGAGCTGGCACATTTGATGTATTGCGCTGTGTGGAAGCAATGTTCATGTTATTCATATCTCCTTCATTAATACCCATGGCTGAGGTTGTTGGATTGTGCTTTCCAGAAGTAATATAGGTAGTGCCCATAAAACTCAATCCAACCTGCCCAAACTGTCTGACAGGTGCAAAATGATTATAGACCACCATATGTGGAGGGCCCTGAACCCCAGGAATTTGTCCAGGTGGGCTGATGAAAGGGCCAGTAAACCCTGTTGGGGGCCCATAGAACGAATCCATGGAGGAATGGCATTGTTGCCAGGTACCAAGTGGCCCAGAACCAGAACTAGTACTCTTTTGGGACTGAGATTGGGAGGCAACTGGTTCTTCATGAGGCCCAAAGGAAAAAATAGGACCACCCAAGACAGGATTCATCTCATAGAAGGGGAAGTGAGAAGGTGGTCCTCCAGGAAAATGAGAAAGCATCTGGCCTGAAGAATTTTGAGGATCAGGTAAACGTGGCCATAAAGGCATTGGAGGATTTTCAACGGAAAGATCTGCAGGAAGAGATACATTAAGTGGTTCTTCAACTCTTGATTGACTTCCCAATTGCCGATCACCTGGAATAGCAATATAGAGGAATTAGATGCCTAATACAATAAAATTGGCACTGACTGGTTACTAAGAAAAAGGGGAAGAAGAGATGTTTCAATCATATCTGAACCTTCATAGATCTTAGTTTCTGAAGTTGTTGCAGAACCCCGTCCATTCTCCACAAGCTCATCATTAGTAATGGCTGCAACAGCAACAGCAGAGGCAGCGGCTTCAGCTTCAGCCTCAGAATCTTGTAAGTTAACAGATGAATCGTTTGGAAGTTTATCAAAGAGAAGTGAACAATCATTCTTAGTAGCAGAAAGATTGTGGGAGATTTGTACATCAGATCGATTGGAGCCTGGAGCTCCGATCCCATGTGAAACAACACGGCTACTAGCAGGGAGGATTGTTGGGGATGTAACAGCACCTGGTTAATCACAATTCAAAACAAATCAGAAGACAGTTTTAACTGGGTGGAAGCTATAGTTGCTAAAAATATAGTTTACCAAATTGAATTTTCTCTCCAGCGAGCAGAGAGTTTATTGGACTTGCAGTTGATGCAAAAGACTTGTCATTTGCCAATATCTTTGATGATGGTAAGGAAGGCCCACTGACTGAACTACTGTGACTTCCAACAGAAGAAACATGTGCGTCAAATCTCACAGGCTTCATAGCCTCCTCAAGTTGGCTCTGTGTCAATGTCAAAACCTATTCAAGAGTGAGTCAGAGACTCTTTTAACGTTTAAACAACACAGTGCATTTCACCACGACAGAGTAATAAGCAACAGCAACATAATGAAACAATTGGTCCACTAAGTAGGGTACTAAGCTAAAAGATGAAATGCAAGACACGTCTGGGAAAACTACGAATTCGGCATTGGCATCTATGTGGTAGATGCAACCTATTGAACAGCAGTAGGACATCTTGAACAAATGCTATATAGCAATATTAAAATATTGGTTTTTGCAAACCTGTTGATTAACCCGTGGAGCACCCCAGGAACTCGAAGACGTCATGACTGCATCTCCATTTTTGTTGCCCTCGAACATCATGTTTACTCCATCACTTCCATCACCAGATACAACTGTAGCAGTGGGGGTATGGAGGGATCTGGGAAAAGAAAAGAAGAGAAAAAAAATGTAAATGAGCATTACACTTAAAAGATAGCAATTAATGTTTCATAACAAATTAGAAATTGAAAATGCATACTTGTTTGATCTGATATCTGCTTGAGCTCCAGTATTTATGGCAGGAGTACCAATTGGAGCAAGTGGCTGTAAACCACTGGTAGTGTATCCCACGGATTCATCCTTGTTAGCTGATCCATGCCCCTCAGTGGCAACAAAATCTGATTGTGTTTTCTCTGGAATTTCTCCACCCACAGGTGCAGATACCTTATTTAAGCTCGTTGAAACTCCAATGTTTTGTCTGGAAGTGCGAGGTTTACGTGGTGGCTGCATGAGATAAATAAAATAAGTAAATATGTAACTAAAAAATGAATAAACAGTAAGCTCCAAAGTGAATTAGATGAATATTCTATGCACCAAAACCTTTAAAACCCGGGATTTCGCCTTGATTTCTTTCTCTCTCTGTTCCCGCCGGTCATTCAGCATTTGCCTTTTGGACCTTACTTCAATAAAGTCATCTTCATCACTAGGGGCTTCTATACCAGGTTGTTTAAAAACTCGTACAACACCACTCTGCAAGGGAGCATCGACATCCTCCTCAGATATGTTCCTCTTCAAATTCCCCTCATTAAAGCTAGATAGACCCTGGTTCTTCATAACAGGATCCTTTCCACTGTCCTTCCTTGCCTTGTTTTCAGAATCCATGTTCTGAGAACCATTATTGGCTGACTTGGAATTCTCAGCTTCTACAGTGTGTTTGATTGATCTGTTAGACATGGAACCTCTCTTAGATCCACTTCTTTGAAAACCCCCTCCAGCTCTTCCATTATAATTTAACTTATCATCAAGACCAGAATCATTAGCAGATAGAGAGCCAGATAATTGTCTCCTATCAGTATTCTCCCGAATTCGGAATTCAGTTCGCTGGACTGTCCGCCGTGGTCTCCTCTGAAACCCACTTGACTCTGAGAAAGAAGTCTCAGAAGCAGTAAAAGATGACCTCGCAGTGTTATTTTTAACAGCATATGTGAACCTCTTACCCCTGTTGCCAGAGAATGAGCCTTGAGCCTTAAATCCACCTGAACTCCTCTCACCAGAAAATATCCGCAATGGTGGCTGCACATTCTGCTCCTTAGATGATTGCAGATCTGCACTACCCTGCTCCTTATCCTCACATTGAAAACCAACTTCCTCAGGAAGTTTACTATCAGTTGCCCCAGAAGCCTCAGAGTTGATCTTATGGGTCTGAGCATTGTTTTCTGTAGCTCTTACTAAAGATGAACCTAATTCTGGCACATTCCCATGAGATTGTACCGGAGAACCCATTACAAAACCAGTCGGTTTATTTATTGAAAGAGATGATCCATCTGTCATCTTCCCTGAACAAACATCTTCAGCATGTGGAGTAAGCAAAGAACCTACAGTGCCTTGATTAACATTATAATTACTGTGCAGGCTTGGCTGAATAAAAGGCATGGGTAAAGCTGTCCCTGGCAATATTCCTTGGGAGATAGGAGGTGAATACCTGAACTGACCAAATTGAAAGATAGAAGGTTGTGATGGATGTATATGGGCAAGGGATGTACCAACTGGTGGATGCAGGTGAAGAGGCATCTGTATAGAACCAATCTGTATTGCTGGCACTGGAGATGGTATCAAGGATGGACCAGAAAATAGCCCAAACTGAAGTTTAACGGGTAAATCAGCTTGACTTGGTGTAGAAGATGCAGTTGGCAGGACAGTCTGACTGGCAGACAATGGTTTATGAACTGGTGACAGAGATTGCTGAGCAGAGACACTGGAGGTACTAGGAGCATCAACACCATCCAAAATATTAGATGTAGCTGAGGTATGAGGCACATTAGCAGGTTTCATCACAGCTTCCTGCATACTTTTTTCAGTTTCTGCAATCCTTCCAGAGGAACTACGTGAACTTGACTGAGATGAACCTTCTGCAGGCTGATAGCAGCTTTCATCAACTTGAACACCATTTATAGGTCCCTGTTCCTCAGGGATACGGACATAAGTGTCAGGTCTGTCAAATATGCTCTCTTCATTTCTTAAATTCCTCTCAAAATCATCACTAGGCATGGCCACTTCAACTCCTTCATTGAAGCCTAAAACCAAGTTGTGTGAATTAGGAGATGGTGCTCTCTCTCCCAGCTGCATATCTTCAAATTCTTGGGTCAGGTCAATGGTATCATCTCCTTCACGAAGTTCATCCTCTTCCCTGTAACCATCTTCCTCCTCATCATACTCCTCTTGCAGTGGCAAATCATCATTATTTTCAGTTGTCCAGTCTTCATCCTCAACAGCGGATATAGAACTGGAAGCTGTCCTCGTGGCATCTTTAACAGAATCATCATTCAAGACATGACATTTATTTCCAGAGAGTGATATCTTTTGCCCCCCTGCAGCAGTAGATACAACAGGAGAATCCCCAGATTCATCCAACTCGTCATTAGAGAGATGAGGGGGAGAGTTTGGAGGACTTGTAACTGATAAAGAGGATTGTGAATCACATCTTGGACCCATATCTTTTCTCAATTTCTTCTCTTCTCTAGCAGTGTTTTCTTGCTGGAGATCAACAGCCAGAGATGCACCACTGCTTTCTTGATGGCCACCATAATAAACCGTCTGTTGTGTACTTCCACTTCCAGTAGATTGTGTGTTTTCACTGCCCACATAGTCTGAGGTGCCAGCATGCTCATTTGCACCCCTGAGAGAATTCCTCTGCATGGTTGAAAGTGTAGGAGGGGGAAGCACACGAGGCTGTCTCATAGAATATCTTGACTTAGAATAGGAGAAATGTTCATCTGTTTCAGAATTCTGATATGATCGACCTGGATAAGGGAAGCGAGTATTGCCACGAGAATGGCCATGCCTCCATCCAATATCATTATACTTCTCTGCAAAATTATCATGAAATTCTGAATCAATCTCCCTGCCTCTGTTGTATGAGTCAGCATCCACAGAAAGGTTCCACCTATCTTCTTTTGGATGTCCAAACTCATCCATGCAAGTTTCTTGCATCCCTTCTTTCATAAAACTCCTAGAGGACATGTAGCCACTCCCTCCATTAAACTCTTTCCGAGGAGCTCCTCTGACCCCAGCAGTTGCATCTCTACGGGGACTATAGTGACCAAAATCATGTTCCTGTGGTTGCACACGTGAGCCACTCCCATTCCCAAATACATCCCTTCTCCATGAATTAATAGATTTTCCTGTGTCACCGAAATTTGGAAAACCCTCTCTTGGAGGATAAGGCCTTGAACCAATCTCAGAAGCTCTGCTAAGAACAGGCGCCTCTGAATATGTTGAAGTTGTTAACCGTTCCACCATTCTCTCACTCTCATCCCAGTTATCCAGATCTGCTGTCTCATTTTCCTTCACATTAGTAGGTAGTTTTTCCTCCAAAACAACAGAAACTTCAGTTTTTTCTGTAGTAGCCTGCCTTTTTGCAATCTTAGCTTCCAACTCTAAAAGCTTCTGCTTAGCAGCCTGTTTTCTCCTCTCTTCCTCTAGGAACATCCTTTTCCTCTCCTCTTCCCTGGCATTCCTCTGCTCATCAGCTCTTCTAATAGCCTCCAATCGCTCCTGTTCTGCCCTCCATGCAGCTTCTCGGGCTTCTTCTTCCAACCTTCGACGCCGTTCTTCTTCTTCCCGAATAAGTCTCTGTCTTTCTTCCTCCTCCCTCTGAGCTTGTTCCAAAGCTCTTTCTTGTTCTTCTATGACTCGCTGCCGCTCAAGCTCTTGCATCTTCTGAACTCTTTCAAGTTCAGCCTCAAAAGATTCCCTAACAGGATCGTGGAAATCAGTCTGCTTAACCACATCCTTTTTCCTCTTTATCACCCCAACAAAACCCCCAGAGAAGAGGTCCCTTTCATCAAATCCTGTAGATACAAAGTCTTTTGTGAACAAATCCTCAACATATGGTTTTTCATTTCTCAAAAAGGCACGTTTCTCACGACCAAGATTTGGTACAGGATCAGTTATAGTAAGTGATTTCCCAGATGAAGCAAATGAAGGTTTGGGCCCAGTACTATTTTGGAGGCCAAATCTATTAGACTGTTCAATGCCATAGCGGTCTCTAGTCATACGCTCAGAACCTCTGCTGTTAAACGATTCTCTTGCATTATTCAAGTACTGCTGTCCTTCTGATGCATGCACTGTTTCCTTTCTTCCAAATGTGGACTCACGATTTCCAGTCACTCCGACGTCCCGAGCAGTTTCTCCATACTGTGGTGGAACATACCTACTATCTTTCCCAATATCTTTGTTCAGTACAGATGTTCTAGAGTTAACAGTATTTCGATTGTTTACAGCTTCCATAGCATTACCATCTCGTGGGAGAGGTGAGGATTTCCACATGTTTCCTTCCCTACTAGCTGTTCTCATGTCCCTGCGATAAGAATCCCCTCTAAGAACTTCACTGGAAACAACAGGTCCTGTTTCAGTGTCTCTTTGAGCCCACCTTTCATACTGATTATTAACTGGTTTATGTGGTAAAACACTAGTTCTTGGCATGTCAAAATCACTATCCCAATAATTTTCACCTTTTGCCATCCTTGAGTCTCTACCCCTGTCTACAAATCCATGTCCAGTGTCACGCTCATCATCAGCCCAATCAGACCTTGGATTTAACCGGACTAATGGCAGTGGACCTGCAATGTACTCTTCCTGCTTCCAAGGTTGATCAGCCAAGCGTGAACGTCCCAGATCATGGCCTTCACTGCCACTCTCCACTGGTCCATTCTCAATAGATTGACGGGAAGAGTGTCCATGAGGACGCATATCAAGTGAACCAAAATTGTCCCTTGCCTGATTGGAATATTCTTCACCCGGCTTTTGCTTTTGACTCAAGCTGTCCTTTTGTTTCTGAGCAGGCGCAGAAGAGACCGGCAAAGCAGCCTGCAATGAAGGGAAATCCTCACCCCTCAAAACACTGGCTTTCTCTGCCAATGGGGCAAAAGCTTTAGTAGAACTAGGAACTAAAGCTCCAATCCCACTAGAACGGGCTGAAGGTGGCATATAAGCCCCATTCTCCTGATTCAAGCCCTCAACCCCATGTCCCGTCTGGTCCATTTCTTCAACCACCTGAGCATCACCGGTGCCATCCTTCCCTTGTACCCCAATACCAGGAGCAGGTTTAGTCCAACCCATACCAGAAGACGATGGTCTTGTCCCACTACCCGGCCTACCACCACTGGTTGTCCCACTGCCTGATCCAGATACATCAAACCTCTGGTGCTCTTTCCTCAATGATGGCAAATTCATGGGGGGTGGAACAGATAATTTCGGTCCAACCTTCTGTGAGCTCCTAGGCCGCGACAAAACCACCATCCCTCCGCCACCTCCACTACCCGGCCTGCCCCGACCAGTTCCAGCTTGCCCATAAGAACCACTAGAAGATTGATGACTATGATGATGAGGCTGTCCATAAGACTTATTCAGATTAACGGAAACAAACTTGGTTCCGATACCGCCAGGATTGGCCATCTCAGAACCCGACACAAATAACTAATCGACCTGGCTGATCCAAAGCTACGGCAACGCATCAAATGACACTTAACTCAAGCTTTCCCTATACACCGCCCCGTTAAATCACTCGCAAATAGATCTTACAGCAAACGGCAAAAAAAAAACACAGAAGCAAAAAACCTAGAAACTCACTCACTCCGACCCAATCAGCAATCAAATGATAGTATGCTCGATCAAAAATGGCCTATTACAATCAATGAATCGAAAAGCAATAGATTAAATAGCCAAGCTCCTGCGTTGATTAGGGCTTCGATAGTTTTTCCTCTTTTTTTTTTTTTTTGGTTAAGAGATCAAAATAGAGCTTTGAAGTTCGGCGTAGGATAACGACCTTACCTCTGACGGCGCGAGATAGATCAGCGGTGATTAATGTGCACCGTGAACAGAAAGATTAAGAACTGTGACGTCGGAGGAGGAAGAGAAGCCCTACTACACACTAGTCGGAGGAGAGAGAGAGAGATTGCACTTCTGTTCTTTAAACACAGAGAGATGGAGAGAGATTAGGACTTGTATCTTTGTCTTTTTCTGTTTTGATCCCCAAAATTATATCAATTTCACGTATTTCTCTCGTTTTATTTTTTTATTGATTATTACTCCGTATCATGCATGTTGGCCTAATAAAATATAGGAGAATATCCTGCCGTTTCATTTGCCACGATTAAAATATTCGAATTTAAAAATTATATTTTTTATTGTTCCCAAACTTTTTCACATTATAGTACTTTTTTTGTCAATCATATCAACAATAAGAAATATACTCTTGCTCCATAAATGGTGGAGCATAATTTTTGTATATGAATGTTATAATTTTGATCATTGCAATATCTTATAGGGTGTATCTAGTACGTGTGACCTTTTTTTGTTTTTTTTTGTTAGAGGGATTAAAAGGTCTCAAGATTTATAGATTATTCTCGTGGCTACACCTCTAACATATTTCTCCAACAATGCCTTGTTGCCCTTAGGGGAGTGATCCAAAATCGACGTCTCCAGTTGTTGGTTTGCCCCAAGTTAGCTAGATAATACGCACATTGGTTGCCTTCATGAATAACATGGGTGATATCAATGTCCTACATCTGACTCATGATGACTTTGCAATCACTAATCAAGGTATCAACTTCCAGGCGGGAATTAGACTCCCTCTTGATGTCATGAACCATCGCATCCGAATCTGTCTCAACTACAATCCTCTACAACCCCATGGTCTTTGACAATGATGAGCCCCTCTCTCAGACCCAAAGCTCCACAACGAAGTTGCTCATGACTCCAACTTTGTCTGAAAACCACGACTTAAGCCATGTTGTGTTCCCGAATCACACCTCTCACATTAGCCAAACATAAGCTAGCTTTTCTAGCCCTATCTGTATTGAGTTTGAGGAACTCGTGAGCCGACAAAAACCACCAAACCCATACTTTCCTTCCAAGTGTTAAGATATGTGGTTTAAGTAAGATTTGTTGAGTTTCTGTCACCTTTTTCGTCATACGACTCACCACTTCCTTATACTATAGGAACATGTTATTGAACACCATTTCATTTTGAGTCTTTCGAATAGTCCACAGCATGTAGAGGAACAACAACTTCCAGTTGCCATTGTTTCACCTGGAATTATCCACATTGTAGTTGCCATCCACCCAGTCTAATATAGGTATATGGGCTGTGGTATTGACGTCTATAGCGCTGAGTGTTGATTCCAACAATTCAATGTCACATTGCAACGCCTGAATAGATGGTCCAACGACTGCTCTCCCTTTATGCTAAAAGGATCATCCTGACTCTTTCAGTGCAACCCAAACCCAACATCGGTTGTCTCCCTATTCTTCATGACATGCAATGAAATTATAAGTATATTTAATTGTAAAGTGACTCGTACCTGAATGAGGTCAACTCTACGCGTCCTCTTGCGTGTCTTCCACGTCAATGGAGATGGCCCTAATGCAATTTACCAAATTGCCCCACATGGAACTCCCCATAGCACCCACGTCTCAAATCCTATTTGCCAAATATGAAAGGGCTAACACTCACCTATTCATATTCACTATGGATATCAATGCTCGGGGTATCTATCAGATGTGCATCTCTGACTCGCCAATCTGAGAAAAAGTTAAGGGAGGTTTCAGTCCTCACTTTCCATTTAATCCATTTTTATTAAGTATTTTATTCTCTTAATAATGTATTTCCACCCCCCATGGGTCATGTAGATATCCATATAGTTGACATTGTGAATTTTTCTGGAATCATCATCATGCTCCCACAAGAAGTTTCTGCAAATATTGTCAATATCATCACAAACATTGATCGGGAGTGCCAACGCTTGCATAGTATATGTAGGAACCATGGCAAGGGAGGTTTGAACAAGCACCATATTGCCAGACATGCTGAGAGAATTCATGTTTCAAAGTGACTAGCTTTTTCCTCGTTTTCCCAATTACCCAGGCAAACATGTCTTTCACATATGAACTTTCTAGTATGAGATATTACATAACCTCTTCGGTTGAGTCCGTCACACAATATTTTTCCTAATATGTGTTATTATTGATCGAGTTAGTCATACAACGCTTCATAATAAAAGCTATTACATACAACCTCAATCGAGCTCATCACACATAATTTTCCTAACACAAACGAATTATTATACATGAATGAGATTTACATATCTAAACATCTTTAGGCTTTAGCTGATATATACTCTTTATTAATTGAAACAAACATCATATGTTATATTTATTTACATTGTATTTATAATTTGTTTACTATGTCACATTTGACCACATGGTTGAACTCTAAGCAAAGAGGGCAATTTTTATTTTTCCAAATTCAAGTATTTATTTGAATTTATTTTCTTTTTTTTTTTAAAAAAAAAAAACAAAATTCAATTCGAACTTTATTATCTATTTTATTTTTAAAAAAATATTTCTAAACTAAACTTTCACTCCAGTAAAAGTTACATTTTACTAGCACAATTTAAACTATATTTAAATTAGTCGAACTATTGTGGAGATATCAATTGCTATACAAAAAAAAAAAGGTATTATAGCAAGTCTTGTATTTTTTTTAATTTGTTTTGTTTTGTTTATTATTATTATTATTATTATTATTATTATTATTATTATTATTATTATTATTTTGGTTTTCAAACTAGGTAGAATTGAGAAAATGGAAGAAAAAGAAAAAGAAAATTAGTGTTAGAAAAAAACAAGGAAAAAAAAATAATTTATATGTCCAACGGGCGTCTGTAGTGCACACACCCAACACATTTTTTTTTTTTTGGAATCTACAAAAACTTGATATCCTGTAAATTTATTTGTTGTATTTCTTTTCCCATCTCTCATCCAAGTCGCTCTCTCTCTCAATCACCAATACAAAGAAATTCCAAAAAAAATTCATGTTGGGTTGCTTTTATCTCTTATATATATACTAGTTTTTGTACGCGCTTTGCGCGAATGGGATAATGCCCAATAATTATTTTTAAATAATTATTTCAAAGTATATCAATGCAATAATATATAAGAGATGTTCATGCATAGGTAAATAAATGTTGAATTTGTTTATTTAAATCGGTAATTTAAAGTATATAAATGCGAGATAATATATGGGAGATTGATTATAATTGTCACTAAAATAAATGTTTGCAACTTTGTAATAACGTTAGTCTAGCTAAATACTTAGTCTTAAAGCGATAGTCTAAATAAATACTACTTTTGATTTAAATTTCTTTAATTCTTCTTAATTCTCTTTTGGGTAGCATTGTTATTGTTTTCATATTCAGTAGTGTGTCATGTGCAATTAGGTTACTGGTAGCAGCATAGAGGGATTCATCATACAATGAGATTATAGTGTAGAAAGTTATGCCTTGCTGTGTATATGACTGAGCTTTTAGTTGTAATATTAACTCTTTAGCGTACAAACACCTATATTGGTATTTAGTAGTGGTAGTTTTTTCTCTACATGTTTCAAGTGTTGTGAGATGTGTGTCATAGGTTATCATGTGAAAGTATTGAACAAAATATTAATATTTATTATATTTGTATAAAATACTTGGTAAATAAATAAATAAATAAATAAATAAATAAATAAATATATATATATATATATATATATATATATATATATATATATATATATATATATATATATATATATATATATATATATATATATATATAACATGTTTTGTATTATAACTTTGATATTTAATTACAAGATAATGGAAAAAAGAAGACAATGCACAATGTAGTGAATATAATAAATTAATAAATTTGAAGGTAAGGAATCTTTGAATTGTAGAAAATAAAGATAATATAACTAATGAAATTATATTTCTTTTTAATTTTTTATAATGAATAATTTTTTTTTAAATAAAGCATTATAGACATCTAATTCTAAATTAATTAAATGCGTATGTATTATTTTTTATTGTAGCTAGTAATTTATTTAATTAATAAGAGTAATAAAGTGTGGTACATACTTTTCTTCAACAATAATGAAATCAATGATTATTTTTAATTTCCATTCCTTGTTGAGACAAATTGTTTTGAGAGTTTGTCCATGACAATTGCTACAATTGCTGTCAATAAAGGATGATAATAAATAATTCAAAATATATGGTTACGATAGATATTAATATAATGATATAGTAAAAATTAACTTACAAATTTCTTTTGATGTTTTCATGCATTGATAAAATTTTGATGTGTAAACTTGCTCACTTGGAGCTCGTAGGATGTTAACATTGTCAATTATTTGAAAAATGATCCTACCGTTTTAGAGTTCATGTATAATTGTATTTATGATCAACAATTTTGTAGTTAGGTCGCGTAGGTTTGACAATGATGGAAGAACAATTTTGTATGATAAAAAAAATAATAGTATACTATTTGTAAAAAGTAATGTACAATTGTACCATTATAAAAAAATACAAAAAATATTAATACCATAATAGCCTAAATCATTCCAATAATGCAAAAGCATAATTGAAATATTAAGTTTTGTTCTAAATAATCAGAAGAAGATTAATTAAACCAAAAAAAAAAAAACATAACCTAATTTTTTTTTAAATAAAAAATTCAAGAAAATCAAATGATTTTAACGTAGTTCCTTATTTATAATCTCTGATGTTCAACTTTGAATACTATGTATTTAGTCGAGCTAATTATTTGACCAAAGTTTATGTTAAATTTTATATATATATATATATATATATATATATATATATATATATATATATATATATATATATATAAAATACATTTTAACATATTCATATATGTTTAACAATTATGCCAACTATACTTGGGATGAGGTTCAAACCTACGACCTTATATAAATTAAGAGTATGTTAAGAATAATAAATAGTTAACGGAATATTTCGTTACTAAAGTTTAAACTAACGGAATTTAGGGTTATTTAAGGGAATAAAATAATATAATAGAGGGTAAATAAGGAAAATCATTAAAAGATACTAAAATTAAAATAATATGAACCATTCATTTTAAGAAACAATTAGTACCGACATTTTTTTTGTTCCAGTTAAGGGCCTAACATTATTCACTCTTATTAGATTTGTATTTGTATGTATTGTATATATATTGTAGATGTAGATTATTATATGTTTACTATAAATTATAATTTGTGAGTGATCATTAAATATCAAATATAATTTGCAACTTATATAGTGCATTAAAAAAATCAAATGGAAGATCCAGGGTATATTTGTTAATGTCCAAAATAAAGTGGGTCTAATGGGAAATTGTCCAAATTTAAAGTATCAGAAAATAAATATCTTGCTATCGGCGTGCAGTACGAGGAAACAGTCGAGCTACAGCAGAACTGCTGAAATTTTGCAAAATGGTGTGGATTGACTGAGAGGGAAAGCGAAAGAACGAAGCTTTTTCTTCCCCCAAAGGAAATGGATGCAGCCGAAGCCCCTCTATCGACCTCTCCATCCCAATCTAGTTTCAGGTACTGCGAAACCCAAAGCTGTTTTCTCATAGTTCTTGATTTCCCCTATTGCCAAATCCAGTTATTTAGCTCGATAAAGTTCCAATTTCTCTGTTGTTTTAATTGTATTACGGAGTTTCCTTCTTGTTATGCAGCCAACAACGCCATTTCTATCATGCTGTGGATAGACTAAAGTTCAAGATGGTTACTTTTCTTTTCTGTAGTTTTCAATCTTGGGAAATTTCAGTGGTTTTTATGATTTCAAGATTATTATTTTTCCATGAAATGTTGATAATTGTTTAGCAATTTTGGTTGAATAGGAGACATTAGTCGATCTATTGGGCATGGCGGGCCGTCTTCCTTGTTTGCCAATGGTGGTTTGCTGCAGCACCCGGGATGAGCTTGATGCTGTTTACTCTGCCCTATCCACCCTCTCCTACATCTCTATCTCTGCCGTGGTATATTTTTAACATTCTCTTCTAACTTTTCCTTATCTTGCTTTAGATACTATAACCTATTTAGTTTGGGTGACGAGAGAAACTTGCAGCCATTATTGAGGTTGTGCACGGAGTAAATCATTGTGACCTTATCCGGTAAAGGATCACAAGGAGATAAAACAACTTAAGTTGTGCATAATTGATCAACTCAAACCAAGAAGGCCAGTAGGCTGCTCCTATTAGAAGTCGAACTTGTAACTTTGTGGTTAGCAAGTCAATGACCTGAGTACCTGACCAACTTGACTGGGGTTGCCCCGTAACCAATTTAGTTGATTCTATGAAGATGGGATTGGAGTTTGATTGGAGAGTGGAAGGTTGACTAGAAGGGTATGTGTGAGTTAGTGTGTCATAGTAGATAAAGGTGTAATTTTTATCACTGGCTGTGTGTTTATGTTGAAAACCGTTGTGTTAAATTGTGGCGAAGGGATTGTTTTAAAATTCCTTGAGCTATAGTGATGTAGATTTGATTTATGCAGTACAGTGACCTCTCTGAGGCAGAAAGAGCACAGGTTTTTGCCACGTTTCGCCAGGCTGTGATGAGGTGGAATCGTCAACCCATGGCTCAACCACAAGATGCAGGGAATGGAGAAAAGGAAGAGAAGTCTCACATGATTGTTGTGACAGATGCTTGCCTTCCTCTGGTTAACTCTGGGGAGTTACCTTTTAATGCCCGTGTCTTGATTAATTATGAGTTACCAGCTAAAAAGGTAAGGAGACAGTTCTTTGTAGATTTGGCAACCTCCCCAGTTTTCAGTGTTAAACCAACTTCCTTTTTCTAACTGTTATTATCTTTTTCATGTTTGTGAATTGTGACTAATGATTTACCCGTGCATCAGACTTGTGAACTTGCTGTTGACTTCTGAAATGAGTGTACTTAAAAAAAATAGTGTGATAGTTCTGAGAAGTGCGTTTTTACTTGTTAAAACATATGAACCACTTGTTGAGAATGAGGGAGAAAGTGGTTTTCCACTTGTTGATGTTTTTTAGAGGATTTCTTGTACTCTACCGAATGATATTTCCTCCCCCTCTTATCATATGTTTCTTTCGGTTGAATATAAACAATTTGTAGGGGGAAAAAGGGATGTGTTACTGCTATATCTGCTCCAAGATACGGTATGCCTTAATGGACACATTTCCTCACTGTGATGCACATTCTTTTGCAGGAAACGTATATGAGGCGCATGGCTACTTGTTTGGCAGCAGGTTCTATAAAATTTCCCCTTCCCTAATCTTCGCTTCTCTCTTATACGGCCTTGTTTGGTAAAATAGTTTGCCTATTAGCCGATTTTGGCTTGTTTGACCACTATTAGCTGTTTGACTTGGTTAAACAACTAATATGAGTGTTTGATTAATTAGCTTTTTGTAACAGCTTATTGCTTCAAAACACTAAAATTCAAAAAGCTGCTCAAAGCAGCTTTTTCGATAAGCTTTTTGAGAAAGTCATTTTGTATGTAATCAACTATCAGCTAACAGTTAATTTACCAAACATCTTTCTACAATCAGCTAATACTATCAACTAGTCAAACTCACTAACCCAATCAGCTAACAGCTATCAGCTAACATCTATTTACCAAACACTCCCTACATATATATGTAACTACACTTGGGTATATGCTTCTCTTGTTATTTTATTTTATGAATTTATGCAGATGGAATTGTGATCAACATGGTTGTTGGAGGTGAGGTTGTAGCGCTCAAAAACATTGACGAAAACAGTGGCTTTCTAATAGCAGAAATGCCCATAAATGTGAGTTTTTCAGTATGGACTCTGCTCTTTCCCATAAAAACCATAGTAACATTCAATTCCTTAAGCTATACTTTGAAATGATTGCAAATTCTAGTCCCTATCTCTTGCAATTGCTTAGACCCGTTATCACTGCTGACCCGTTGGAGATGATACTGATATTAACTATGGTTGTAAACAGATTTTAGAGATGCTGTGAAGATTTCGATCAGGCTGTTGGAATGACATAAAATACACACATAACAAACTAGACAGTTACAGGCCAGTGATAGAATTACCTTAAAAAGAACTTCATTCTGTTTCGAATTTGCAATTCTCATTGTAAGTACCCAGGGAAAGCAGCTTAAATTGACTATTTTTTAAACATGATATGTGCAGTCTGCTCCACAGTGTCCCGGGCATGTTAAAAAGACGGGTTTTGGTGGGGACTCGATGCATGCTAGGAAATAGGATACTTTTCACAAAAAGAAAAAAGAAAAAGACAAAAGATTGCATGTCTTTGGAGCAGGATTCTTGTTTCCTGTTTATGAACAGAGACATTTACTTGATTCTGGTTTCATGTTGTGGAGCAGGCTTTCGTGTTGCTTGTTTATTGACACAATGACATTTATTAGAACCTGGAAATTTGTGACATCTCGTGATGCATTGTTCACCGAGTATATATTATTGACTTGAATTGAACATTGCTTTGTTAGTTTTTTTTGGTGAACTTAAAGTCTTGGATATCTCTTTTAAGCTGCAGCACAGAACATAAAACTTCGAACTCTATAAAGATTACATTTTTTGTTGTTGTAACTCTCTTTTCTTCCAAATGACGGTTGAAGAAAGTTTGTAGAAAAGTTGAGCGAGCTGAAGCCATTCCTTCTGGTGAGCTCGGTTTGGTTTTATACTACCATAGTTTAAGCCGCATGAAATTCTTTGATTGAAAGGGAAAGATCTTGTGTTGCAGGAGGGAAGAAGGGGGGGCAGGTTAAGGATATACTGCTAGCAAATGGTCCCTAAGGTTTATGAAGAAAGGTAGATTGTGGATTGGATTCCACCCCTAATGGCAACAGAACACACAAACACACTCCAAAAAGGAAAACCAATTATTTGGTCTTTGGATGTATTTTGGTATGTTATAGTTATACCTCACTTTGGCTCGCGGGAGACTGCTCTTCTCAGCAAGTGGAATGTAGAAGGAAAAAAATGATCAATGTATCATTGTAGCTACAACATGCTCAGATTCTATTGGAAGAAAGAAAAGGAAATGAAGCCTCTAGCGCATTAGTCTACTGGATGAAAAGTTTCACATTGAGCTGCGGGGTAGGGGTTTGATTCCTTCTATGAACATTAGGGGTATGGGTTTGCCTCCTTATGTGTTTTCTTCTTTTACTCGCATTTGACACTTATGGGCTATTTGGTTCACGGAATAGGCCTGGAATGGCATAACATTCCCGGTAATAGGTCTATTCCTCCTTGTATTCTCAGGAACATTGGTTTATGGGTTTACACATTAGGAATAGAAATCAAAATCATAGTTAGTGTTTAAAACACAACTATGGGATTTGATTACTCTTTCAATTAAAAACCTCATTCCCTAATTAAAAATCGGTATATATCATTTCATCTTATTGGTAATATATGATTTTTAAGCTTGGATTAGTGCTTTTAGATTTTTGTTTTGATTTTTTACTTCATATTGGTACTTTAGATATCATTATATTAAGATCAATTGCCTTGATTTTGTATTTTTTGTATTTTTAAAACATTTATTTTCATTATAGGATCATAAACAACCAAATATCAATATTGACAATCATTCTAATTCCTCCCTACTACTAAACATGTAAAATATTTTTTTCAAAACTCATTACCATTAGCAAGTATTTGATTCTCATTTCGATTCCAATTTTCATGTGCGAACTAAACACACCCAAAGTCGATATACCTGCACCAAACAAAGACAAGAAAGAAAAACGCTAAGTGTTACTAGGGTTATGAAAATCAAAATGAATGAATAATAACTATGCTTTATTTCTTTCTTCGACTCAATCAAAGCATGTTACGTTAGCAAGGAACCCATATAGTATTACTCAATATCCAGCAATGAGTGGCTAGTGTGACAATGATGGTTATGTAGTAGTATTTGCACCCCGTGTATGCAATTGCACACACTCTATTCATAATGTTCAAACTATAAATAGCACCCTCTGTTAATAATGTTCAAACCATAATATTAACGTTTAACTGAAAATATATTATATTAATGTTCATATGGTAATGTATTTATATATTACACCAAATAGAAATTGCATGGAAAAATGATAACAATCCAATACTGCAATACAAACATTAGCCCCATGGATACTAATGTAATATTTTAATGTAGTAATCCTACTGCCCACAGAATCCATGGACAGGGAGTCACAGGGAGGCAATTTATATCGGGCACCACGGCGCATATTGCACAAAACGCACGCGTTTCAATTGCTGATGTTATTCCGTCTGTCAAACGGTTCAAATCCCATTATGTGTATTCAGTTAAACGTTTGTGTTAAGAGTTCATGTGTATTCAGTTAAGAGTTTCTGTGTATTATGTATCATGTTAGATTATATGTATTCAGTTATGAGTTTCGGTGTATTCTGTTATGAGTTTGTGTGTATTCGAAACAGATGATTTTTTTTGACAATGCACCAAAGCGACATCGTTTTGGGAGGCGCGGTATAACGATGGCTCTTCGAAAAATTGAGGGTGTGATTGATTGGAAGAGAATTATTCATCTTTAACAAACGTAAGAGATTAATCTTTAACTTAGGTAAACCTTGAGTTATACCAGGTTTTTAGTAAATAACTGTTAGTTGACTTGTTTATGGATTTGACTACTTGATAACATTAGTTGATTGTAGAGAGATATTTGATTAATTAACGGTTAGCTGATTCCATATGGAATGAGTTTATAAAAAGCTGATTGAAAAAGATGTTTTGAGCAATTTTTTTAATTTTTTTTTTAGTATTTTGGAGCAATTAATTATTAAAAAAACTAATTAATTAAACACCAATATTGGTTGTTTAACCAAGTTAAACAAGCCAAAATTAACTGATTGACTAACTATTCTATCAAAGATGTTCTATATATTGATGCTATCAAAGATGTTCTATATATTGATGCAATTGAAGTTGAAAATGATGTTTTGTATAGAATAAGTCAGTAAAACTTTGACAAGATAATTATTAAGCATTACTTGGAGAACAATTCATATATGCCAAATTATGCTATCATCACCCTTCCTTTCTTAACAATTCATATATATATATATATATATATGCCAAATTATGCTGTCATCACCCTTCCTTTCTTAATTACAGAAAATGGAAGCCGCCAGACGTGTGCAGAAGCACTCCGTAAGTATACTCTTCTCTCTTCCTCTATTCTGGATGTGTGTCAGACGGCATGGAAGGTTGGGTGAAGGCCCTTTATGTAGTTTTTGCCTTCTGCACTGCTCTCACTTTTGGTGCTCTCAAAAGTTGGTTGCTTTATTATCATGTTTCAAAGATTTATTATGGTTTCTTTATCTATAAATGCATGTTTCTTTGATTCCATTTCGCATTTCTAGGTTGAATGTTGTGTGTCATGTTGCAGGTTTGCTGGTCGGTTCGATTGCCGGGCTAATAGTGATATTGGGGAATGCTGGGATTGTTCTTGGTCTCTTCCCAGCACATGTTTTCTGGACTGCTTACACCCTTGTCAAGTGAGTAAGCCAATGCCAATCTGTACCACTCTTTCATTCTATGAATTGCTTGGAAATGAAGGATGTGTTCGGTTTTAACTAAAAATTAAAGGCTAAGCTGATAGTGTGCATATATGTTTGGGTAATGAGGAAACCCGCAATCACTGTCCAAGAGTGTGGATTAGGTAAACCCTGCCTTGTTACTCTAGTCGGCAAAAGACAGGAGGTAAATCAGTCTAGGTTGCCTATAGTTAAACGATTCAAACCAAGAAAGTCAATATGTTATTCCCAAGAACTTGAAAGCTTATGGTTACTGAGTCAACAACTCGACCAACTTGGTTGGGGTTAAGCTGATAGTGTGCATATATATATTTGGGTAACAAGGAAAACCCGCAATCATTGTCCAAGGGTGTGGATTAGGTAACTCTGCCTTGTTACTCTAGTTGGCAAAAGACACAAGGAGGTAAATCAATCTATGTTGCCCATAGCTAAACGGTTCAAATCAAGAAGGTCAATAGGTTGTTCCCAGTAAGAGTCGAACTTGGAAGTTTGTGGTTACTGAGTTAACAGTCTGACCAACTTGGTTGGGGTTAAGCTGATAGTGAATATTTGATATTAGATTATGCTCAACACTTTGCGATTCATTTTGATGATCCAAATGTGTTAAAATTTATAAATCACGGGTATGTTTAGACCCATAATCTGGTTTGATGTCATGTGTGAGCAGGACTAGTAGGTTTGATGCACCCATGAAAGTTGCATTCTTGTTAGCTTTGCCTGCTTTGTTTGCAATATGGTTGGGTTTGAGCATAGCCGGTAGTGTTATTGTGGGTGTTGGATACGGGTTCTTCACGCCCTGGGTTTCAGCTTTCGAGGCGTTTAGACAAGATAATGAATCCAAGAAGTTCTTTCATTGCATTGTGGTAATGTTCAAATCTGAGCTGCTCTTATTTCTTTTCATGTTTCTGCAAGTATGAAGTAATACTTGTTATTTTCGCATTTCTAACCTCAAATCCTCTTGATTATGCCAACATTTAGGATGGTACCTGGGGAACAATCCTAGGTAGCTGCACTGTTGTCCAAGATTTTGCTGATATATGCTACCATTCTTATCCACTCTACTTGCAGGAGCTGCGAGAATCCCCCGCTTCACTTGAGCTTCAACCTTTCCGGTAGGTAAAAACAGTGTCTAAAATATAATGAAAACTGTCTGAAAATCTTGAAAAAAGTTTGGATAAATTAGACAAATAAAGGCATGTGTCCTCTGATACCATGTTAAGAAATAAAACTCTATATATTTCTCTTCCTTCTTTCTTAACTACACACTGCCATATATATACATGCTAAACGCAATATAGAAGACCCTTCACATCCCTACTTTACTATCCATGGCCCTTCACATCCCTTTGGCTTTTCATATGCCTTGGCCCTTCATATCCCTACTTTATTCACTTCTAAGTTCTAACAGAGACTTTGTGGTGCAGATTTATCCATGTCCTGGGATGTATCATTGTTGGGGTGATGGGTCTGGTTGTCGAAATTCCTCTTTACACAGTTATAGCGGTGTTGAAGAGTCCATACATGCTGTTCAAGGGATGGTACAGGCTGATCCATGATCTTATCAGCCGGGAAGGCCCGTTCTTAGAAACAGCCTGCATACCTGTTGCCGGTTTGACAATCCTAATGTGGCCGCTTGTTGTTATTGGTAGCATCATAATGGCTATTTTTTCGAGTTTTTTCATTGGACTATATGGAGCTGTTGTTCTATATCAGGTCATTCTCTCTGCTATTTTCATCCTCACAGCTAAACTTTTTAATGTGTGAGATCTGAACTTTTTACTTTTATCTGTATAATTCCTTTCGAATTCAGGAAAGATCTTTCAGGCGCGGTCTTGCTTATGTTATTGCAATGGTGGCAGAGTTTGATGAGTACACAAACGACTGGCTTTATCTCCGGGAAGGGTCGTTCTTCCCCAAGTAATTACCTTAAACTTTATCTTCATTTCCATCTTTGCAAAATTAACTTTATGTTTTGTTGAACTAATCACCTTAGTCATATCCAGGCCTCGGTACCGAAAAAACAAGGTATCCAACACGACAGACTTCTCTGTTAGAAGAAATAGTTCCATTCACAGTAAACTAAGGTCAGCGCCCCCCGCAATGCTTATGCCAAGTGCATCATCAAGATCAGTTCGAGAGGTGATACAGGAAGTGAAAATGGTTCAGGTATGCTTTCTACGTAGAACGAGACAATAGAAGGTTACTTGTATCTTGAAACATAGAAAAAACATTCTTAAATGCCGAATCTGTCTAAGTACTCAGCAGACATTCTAAAACACTAAAGAAACATGTTTGTAACAGGTGTGGCAGAACATGATAAAGATGTGCGAGGTTAGGGGAAAGGAGTTGCTGGATTCCGATGTGATTACCCAATCTGATCTTGAGGATTGGTCCAAGGCGAAGAATGGGAATGGGGCTTCCATTGTCAATGTCGGGCTGCCTTGTTACACATTCTTGCAGACAATACTACACTCTGTCAAAGCGGGATCAGATGGTCTGTTGCTTCTTGATAATCTCGAGGTCACATACCTTAACAGGCCGCGAGACAGATTGCTGGATTGGTTCTTCCAGCCCGTTATGGACCTGAAAGAGCACATTAAAGTCATGGGGTTGGAGGAGGGCGAGATACGATACCTCGAGAAAGCTGTTCTCTTTGGGAGGAATACTGAGCGGTTTAAGGCCTGGGAAAACGGTGGTTTGGCGCCTCAGGACCCCATTAGAGCTGCTCAGATCGAAGGCATCAGTCGAAGGTGAGATTATATTACTACGTTGTTGTGCTTTTTCTCGGATGTTTATCTTGGAATACATTAGATTGAGGATGTCTGTACGTTGATGTGGCGTTGGCAGAACGGTTGGAATGATAACAACGGTATCAAAGCTTCCGACTTATCGGAGATTGTTCGGACAGATTGTGAAGGCATTGATTGCTTATTCCATTCCTACTGAAGGTTGTTCCACAAGACCCATTCCACATTGTGTGCATAAAGCCGCAGGCTCCACCAGATCAGTGTCTTCAAGAACAACTGCTTCTATTGAAGTTGTATAGACAAGGACAAAAACTTCAATTCAAGGATTTACAAACTTCATGTTTTAGTTTAGTTCAATAATTAGCTGCCTGTTGAACAATTATGGGACAAAAAAAAAGGATTTTTGTTAGATGACATTTACACGCTGCCAATTTAATTTGATTATGCGTCACTTTGCACAACCACATATGAGCATTTTACTGAGAGGGTGTTGGAAAGAATTAAATTCGTGACCTGTAGAACTCAATTTCTCACTCATACTATTTTTACTCATTTTCTTTTCAATTTAGATCCAAGAATGAGAAAGTTCGTTTAACTCAGTTTTTTCAATGTGGATCCAAGAAGGGGGGAGCTATACTTCTACAGCCTTCTTTTTGTCTACACAACACTAATAGTAAAAGCAAACTTTATTACGTGTTAGTAGGATCAATTTAGGGAGAGGGGAAAAAAAAGTAATATATATACTTTCATCACATGTATCTCGAATTGAAAGAATATTACATGTGATTTTTGAATAAAAGTGATGATGGGGTTTGGCACGGAAAAGTGTAAGTTAGCATTCGATCCACGTTGTTGGCACCACCAGTTCCTTCACCAAATCATCATTTAATTTTCATTTAATTTAAAGATGAAGCCCCACCCACCCACCCACCACCCAACGCCGCTGCGGCAACAGACAAGATCAGAACAAGACAGCAACCTCCTTCCGTTTCTAACCACCAAGCCAAATAAGGAAGATGTAATGGTTTTTGTTCACCTCACCAGATCCCAAAAGAATGCTTGCGTCTTGGCCTGGCGTATTAATTGACAGGCTACTACACAGAGTAAAGATGGCAGAATTTGTACCAACTAAAAGCCTAAAAATGCACCCTCGTCGGAATGGATCACGAGGCGTACGTCATTGTTATGCATGGAAATGAAAATCTTGTCTCAAAATTCAACCACTCTAGAACTAATAAGACTTACTGCAAATGATGTGTTGGTCTTAGTTAACAGATAATGAAAAATGATATTTAATTGAGTCTGGCTCGCATGGACAGCTCAACTGGTTATAGAGGTGAAAGTTGAAAAGAATGATCAGTGATCGAGAATAAGTTATTATAATTTACATCTTCCCAGATATTCTGTCGGGTCTGGATTGAGTTTAACCTTTTGGAAAGAAAAATCGGAGTCTAGAAAAAAGTGGGGGTTTCAACAGATGGAATCAGAAAACAGGATATACCGAATCTCTAAACCATGTGCGGGCCGTGCGGCGGTGCGCTGTGCATTGCTTCCACCACCTTTTCACCTCTCTGTAGAAAATCGCAATCATTATCAACACACTGTGTAATATGGACAACGCCAAGGGCGAACCTTCCCTTTCGGTATTACTCCCTCACAAGCCTTTAAACACACCGCCATATTTTTCACTATTGTAAATCAATTCAAATTAATAAAATAAAAAAGAAAAGGACGGCCGATAAAGTATAAACTCCACACCTAGCAACAAAGAGGGCTGATTTTAATAATGGTGTAGGGCCGGTGGTCCCAGCTCTCAAATTCATGCACCAAACGAATATTATAGGACAAGCACTCCCCTTGTCCTTTTCCGTTTTTCGCCCTCAAGTAAAAATCAATCACCCTCTTACTTCTCATTCCCAGTGTACTTCCTGCTACCAGTAATATCTATTCGCCTGAAAAACTAGATTTTAACCCACATTATAACTGACACGCCAGAGAAACAAACCAAAACATTTCCACATCATAAGATGGACCGGCCCCATCACTATATATATATATATATAATTGCTTGCATTAAATTCAGCAAATTAGAATTAATCTCAGATAGATACATATATATATGATCTATAAAAATTACTGTAATTCCGGAAATCTCATAACGGACATGCGTTCTTCACCACGTGTCCGTAACTTAAACGGCAAGGTCTGTTTGAGTATTCTCGTGTCACACATTGCTATACCTCTTCCCTTTCCTTGCCCTCTCCGCCGATCTGTAGGCGTCCATTATATTTCTACTCTTAGAAGTCAGAACCATCAAAAGAGTATTCATAATTCATCTCGAGGTAATTAAATCGTAAAAGGATGAATTTATCTGCCAAAAGGATGAAATTGCGAAGCTTTTGCTTGCACATATATGAGAAAGTGGAAGGATTTATGATTATGAAAGATACAATTCAATTATCTGGCTAAGCTAGCTATACATCACCCAGCAGAAAATAAACAAGTAAAATCTTATAGAGGAGCGTTTAACCTCCTCGATAGGAATATTATTATTTAGATTAGTTGCAGTAACGACACCAAGAGTAAATTTAGAAATTACGTGCAAGCCGCCGTTGCGTCATTGTTCTTGTTGTACGGCCAATCTCCATTGTTGGCCTACATTGATATACCAAGCTTCATGGCTGTAATTGAACCCACTCGTAACGACCTTCCAATGGCTTGTCTTCAACAATGTCGAAGTTATACCTGCAAAAAACATGCAACAGTTCATGAGCTAGGCTCGATTCTTAAAAAAATTCGTTATAATAATAATATTATTATTTTAATTTTGAGATTTGAAAAAGTATGCCTACTTTTCTGCAAATTGTTTCTGGATTTTTTTCTCGGCTGCAGCGAAAAAATCTTCAATTTCAGCTTCTGAAGGCATCTTCTCAGGTGTTGATTTCTTAATCTTAAGAGAATAGGCCTCTACCGCCGGACTTGCTGTTGACTCCAGCTCGCCCGGTTCAGCTTGGTACTCCCTCAACGGGGATGTGTGACCGCTGCAAAACGACGGCAATGCTTTGAAGAGACGACGGTGAAGAAATGGAGAAGCCATTAAAACAAAAACATACCAAATAAATATGCATGTGGCCCTTCAGAAACATTCACACTCTCACATAATAAATATGAAATTAAATAGCATTCAAGGAAAATTTACCTCTCTCCTGTCTCGGAATTACACTTCGACGTCGCAATGTCTTCCCTCTCTTCCTGCATAAAAAATGTAACTTAAAATTCAAAAATAGCAGGAGAATTAAGACACTTGACAGGAAAGTTTCGTCCACCGCCAATGCTACAAATATATTTACACAATATATATGACGCATATACATGAATGATACTGTAAATACCAGGCCAGAAATAGTATATATAGATAGATGTCTGTATGAATGTATATAGTGGTCGTGAGAGTGTGGAAAGTTAAATTTGAAGAGATTTACGGCTGACGAACATCTAGATCTGAGAATTTCACGTTTTCCTCAGTGAGCTCGCAACCATCATGGCCGGAGATACAAGACACTTCAACGTGATCGGACTTGGGGCTCGTCGCAGCTAGACCGTCGAAGCTAGCTGGAGAAGGTGAATTTTCAGGTACAACTGATGTGCTTTTTTGGTGGCTTTTCAGCTGAATTAAGGCCGTAGAAAGCTTCGATTCTCCTTCATCATCTATCTTCCTCCTTTTCTCCCCTCGCGTACCGGCCACATCCACAACCTGATCTCTCTTCATTCTCACATACACCACCGCAGCTCCGCCACTGCACCTTAATCAAATCAATCTCTCCAAATCCTTGCGCTTCGTAACCTACCTTCCAATGTACGCTTTCATCTAACTCCGATGTACGGTCCTTTTCTGCAATTCCTTCGCGAGAATTGCGAGATTAAATTCTGTCTCAACAACACATGTAAATCTGTAGCTAGCTGAGTCTGAGAATTCGAAATTCTTCTCTCTAAGCGTACGCGAATTTCGCTGCAGACTCAGAGAATATCTTCCCTTCCGTTGCACTTTTTTCTGTAGAGAGAGAGAGAGGAAGAGGAGGAGGTGGTGATGATTATGATGACGATGCTGATGGCAGGTGCAAGCGATTCCATCGAACGATACGGATTAGGTTCTTATTATTGGCTGGCACGTCCTGTGGTCCTCGTCTTAACGCCGTTAAGAATTAACGTGGGATTCGTGCTAGATGTAAACGGGATTGATGGATGACGTGACGTTACGCAGATCTAGACCATTTAATTATTTACAACCATAAATGATTAATAATATACTTTTTTATTTTTATTTTTGGCCCCATTTGGTAAAATAATTAGATTATCGCTCAATTTTTATTTATTTAACTACTATTAATTGTTTGACTTGGTTAAAAAAAATAATATAAATATTTGATTAATTAATTTTTGGTCTCTTGCATCTTGTGACAGTTAAAATTTAAAAATATGTTTAAATCAACTTTTTCAATTAACTTTTTAAGAGAAGAAATTATATCAAAAGCTATCGGCTAATTACTAATTTACCAAACACGCAAACAGCTAACAACCACTTACCAATTAGGACCTGACCTTTATTTTTCTTTTTGAGGGACAACGCTTTTTTTTTTTCTTTCTTTTTTTAGTACTACTGTTTCTGTTACAATGCAGTAACTGTTCATAACTACTTTCTCGAACACATGACCTCCCACTTGCGAAAATCACTTCATGCCGCTTGACCACAAGATTTTTGGCATATTAGAGACTTACCTTAATTATACAATTTACAAATTTTTTAGCACAATAGATTTTGTTATGTTTCCTATAGATATACCTCATATCAAAGAAGCCAAGAAGGATGGTAGATACTAATATTAATAATATTTTGAAGAATATCTTTCTATTAATATATATGCCTAGCTAATTCCATGAGTTTGAACTTTAAACTTAAATGTCTCGCAGCTTCATTGCTTCGACCCTAAAAATTGATTGATGAGGCAAATTGATAGATGTGCCTCATACTTCTTTTTTTTTTTTTTTTTTTTTTTTTTTTTTTTTTTGGTCTCTTGCATCTTGTGACAGTTAGTGAAGCACAACTTACGAGCCTATTTTGAATTTATTAACCAGTTGAACACCATATTTACACGGAAAAACTATCCATTAATATCATCTTTACCATTAAAACAAATAATTTGAATCAATAGTATTCAAAAAAAATAATAAAAAAATCAGTCCTCTTTTAAAAATTGTTATAAATAATTGTCTTCGCCTTTTCAATTCACCAATAAAATCAATTAAAGATTTTTCTTCTCCTCTCACAAAATATTGAATCTTCAACGTAATCCCAAGGGCCCTCCACACAACTCAACAGAGCATTTGAGATGATGTATGCACACAAGGGATCTGTCCACTTTAGACATAACATCTATACTACCATC